TCAGTCAATTTGATCACTGCTTGCCTTGACCATGGTGATTCCCTTGTACCTGCTGATCTGCCAGAAACGCCTCTTGTGAATCAAGTAGGACTTGGAAAGACAACCAGAAGTCCAGAAGTTGGTCAGTTTCCCAACAGATAGAGGGAAAGATCCGACTTCCACGCCTGGAGAATGTGTGTTCAAGCTCCAGCGGCTCATGTCGTACCTAATGTAATCAAGTGCTGCGCATTGTGAAAATTGTTATTGATCAAATCGCCACCTTCAAGGGTTGACTTGATTGATCAACGACGTCGCATTGCCGTTCATCATTCAACCACACGTCGGCAAGGAAGTTCAAAGAACGCTGTGGAATGTCGTTGCCTTCGGTCACCCAGCAAATCTCGTCTCCACCCGACCCGTTCTCTTGAGTCAATGCTGCCGCCGGCCTGTTCTCTTGCTGGTTGTGTGCAACCAAATAACCCCCGTGCAGCTATTAACCGCTCAACAACCAATGCAGGCGGCAGAACACGAGCGTACAGCTAGAAGCGAAAATGGAACAAATCTTTGCTCTTATCGGTACGCTTCTGAGTGACAAGTTCGCCATAAACCAGGCTTCTCCGCCTTTGCCTATGCCACCCAAGAGATGCTGTGTGACAACATACGTCGCATTGGTATTGAGCGGTCCGCAGATGGTACTGAGATTGTTAGTACAATCAATAGTGAGTATGTAGCTGACCTTGCAAATTGTCAACGCTCTCGAGTCTTGACAATTCATCTCCCTCCGGGCTTTTGAGGGCGCTTTTTGACATTCTTCCAATATCTGCCGAGGGATTGCTTCACGTATTTTTGACACTGTTCGTGATGTTCCATGCGGATTTCCCGAGCCATAAGGCGATTTTCCCGCTTTCCGGAATCGTTATTGAGCAATTGCTTCTGGTATCCGCAACTGCTGTCGATACGGGAGATATCGGGTGACATACGGTCCTGTCTGAGTGAGAGAACGTGCGAACAACCTGCACCAGTCCGACGATCCAGCAACGAGAGGCTGTATTGATTCTGAAAGAAAGCCGTGTCCTCTGTAGTACGATCCTTTCTCGCCAGAAGTGGAAACTGCTTGTTATCCCCATGGAGACCTTAACATAAGGCTCTGGTGCCAATCTTGCTGCCACTCGCCCTCGGGCTGCATCGAATGCCTGCTTGCTGCCACGAGCCACGAGGTACACAAACACGCTTGACCGCCTTCCAAATCAACCACCGCTGGCCAAACAATACGATCTCCAAATCTTCCTTGAGCGAGACCATATATGGACCGGCTCGTGCTCAATTCTCTGTGTAACTGTCTGCTCGTGAAGGCGATGGTATTGCCATGGCCGGAGCCGCTAGAGGACTCAGGACTGGTGAGTCTAAAAACCAGAAAGGCCTGGCAGCCTGTGAGCTAGCTCCAATTCAAATTCAAGACGGAGTCGCCTTTGATGATACACAAATGCGCATACTCCGGTTTCTTGAGCAGCATTCCGTCTCGCATTGTCAAGAACATACAGGAGGTATTGCGCGCTGTAGAAGCAAATGATGGCCATTCCCATGTCTGGAAACTTATTTATATAACCGATGGCAAAGTTGAGAGACAAACATGCCATAGTATCGTTATATTTGGAGTTAGATGGGATGATGATAGTCGCTCTGGCCTTTTCAGATAGCGTATGGCTTTTGAGGTGATAAGGTGGAGACTGGAGTCGCTGCCATCCTGGTGGAAATGGAAACCGCTGGCGGCATGTGAGGTAGGCCGGTGGGCCAGTGTCGTTCAAAATCGTAGAACAAAGGAGATCATTAGCCGTTCCTGTTTCCTACATGTCGTACAGCAAGAAATACACTGCAGCTCCAAACTTTTCCTTGTTGTAATTCTCGATGTCCACGAGTCGGGACCGAACCGATGTTTCTGTGACAGACTTATAGTCTGTGAGTTTTCCTTGGTAGGCGACCATATTCAATCGTTTGGCGCTGTTCGGAGCCATGCGGCACTCTTCACTGAGGAAAGCTCGGGATGTCATAGACAAGTCGAACTGCTCTAGGATAGAATTATGTCTCACTTCTTACAACGTTCTGATTTCTCTTGGGGCTCTGGGATGTCCTATTCCCACCATTCGTGTCTGCAACGACATTTCCATCTGTGTACGGAATCGTACTTTATGCATGATTCCCTATACGGGGTTTGGTGTAACTGGTTGGAGTCTCCAACCATGACCTCCTTGCATTGTAATAACATCCTTTGATGCTCAAGATCTCGATCTCTGCGACCCTCGAGGCTTCGTCAACGATAGCCATCGAGATTCTGTTGAAAACAGATACTTTTCATCCACAAGGTAATGCCAGGTCGTGTCGGAGAGCGTCTGCAAAGAACACAAAACCCGGGCAATCGGTAAGATGAATATCGTTTAGTTGACTTCGAGCCATCGTCTCGCGCCACTTGCTTCTGCCACACCTGCTCGGACTACGTGGTTGCCGCGAGCCAGCATGAACCCGACACGATCTCAGGACCCATTTTTTGGGATGCCGGCAACAAATAATTCGATTTTTTTGTGCCAGGTCACGGTGTTGACTGCAGGCGCTGGGTCGAGAGGGCATCGCTCCCTCCCGGCTTCGTAGTGACTGAACAGCGGGTGAGCAGAATTTTGGCGATGGATGGCCGTGATTGCACCGTTAAACTTTGTCAAGAATGTATGATTGCGTGGCAACAGTCGGCAGAGGGATACCGGCCATGGTCCATGATCTCTGGCTGTACCGCGGCACTCTGTCTTCGAGGTGTCGTGCATACCACGGCTGCGTTTGTTGAGATTGGACCTCATGTTTAAGTTGTCGACTAGGCATATTGACCGCATGTTGTTGCTGTTCTTCAGGAATTGCAAATGCCTGGTATTGCTGTCGTGTAGACCTCTTCTGTAACAGGGATCTGGCGGACCCTCTCAGCCGAAGTAACGGTGCAGCACCGGCAGCAGACAGGCGATCGCTCCCCCCACTTTGGTTCCCGCGTAATGGAACCCTAAGAAAAGCATTGAGTTGGTACTCCTTTGACTTCTGAGGAGCCTGTGGCGCAGGCGCTGAGGCGCGTAAGTGGACGACAAGTTCAAGTGCCGATGTCCGGGAACAAACACATTGGCCAGACGGGCGCCTTCGGTTTTTGAGGGTCCAGAGAAGAACTCAGAAGTGCCCAACTGGTGATAGGGTCGATCTCCTCCTTCTTCCAGTGCACAATCATCAGCTTGAGCTGTTCCATCCATCCTCGACGGCGCCACGGCGCAACTTCGGAGAGGAGAACAGCAATATGCTCCCGCGAGCCTCAAGGGGACATCAACCATGAGCCGGAGCACGAAGATAGACTATATATATATGCGCATTTGCCGCTCCTCAGTTTTCTCTGGCTGCGTCCAATTTCCAAGTTCGAGTAAGGATCACGTCGGTGAGCCCCGTTCCCATAATTCCTCCAACACCGACGATAAATCAGATAATTCATATGCTGCTCGGGGACGTTCATGCTTCGATGTTGTCGAAACGACTAGCACAGCTTTACCCGGATATGATATGGGTTTTGACCGCGCCAATCTGTCATTCAATAGGTGTTGAAATTGGTGTATGTCCTTGATCTTCTCTGAAACTCGTCACCCCCTTCGTCCTCCGACAACACGACAACATGGTCGGAATCAATTCGTGCAAAGGATCAACGGGACGCACGATCGCGCCACTTATAGTTCCCACAGGCTCCACCGAAGTGTCCTGGTGCGAGAACGAGATCGGTGAAGGGTAATAGCCAACCACGATATTGTACGCGGCATCTGGTGCGTAGGATAGCCCGCGACGTTACCAAAATACCCTTTATGTAGCCGGCCAGTGCCAGCCGAGCTTAGTAGGACGGATGGACATACGTACAAAAGAGAACGCCCATGCCAGCCATGGCAAGGACCGAGTCAGGTTGAACCTGGACAAGAGCCAGGGCGGCCCGGCGGTAGCGGCCTGGACCCAGTTCCAGGAGTGAGGGCGAGATTATTGTTGTTGTCATTGGCAGAACGCCAACACTAAATCGATTGCGTTGAATTGAGCGGCGATCGTTGCTTTCTTGTAGTCGAGAATAGAAACTCCAATGCGTTGACGGCGCTCGGTCATACGTATACCATTGCCGAGGCTCAAACTCCAACCGTCGAAGACACCGCTGACAAGGCAATTTGTGGAAATGCTTCTGTACCGCTGCTTTTGTGGAAGTCGGAAGTCAGAGGTGATAAGGTGGAATGTGAGCTTCAACGCTTATGTACAGCTGGTAACTGGGAATCAAACATTGTGACAGCGGCATAGCCGCACCCGAGACGGGTATGCCAAAGGCCTAGTCTTGCTCCTCCTTCATAGGAGGGCTCGCACGCTCGTCAAATCCCTCGAAGACATCGTCGTCTTAACCCGCATCTGACTCCTCGTCAGATAAAATGATAATCGGATTCCGGCCGTGGAACGCTGTAGAGCTTGTTAGCATGTCGTATACAAGTCTCTTAGAAATCAATATATACGAGGAGCCAACCGACTCGGAGTCGGGGTAGGAGGGGATGAAAATCTCAGTAACCGGCGAGTTGTAGGCGAGGCTATAAGAGAAGGCGCAGTTGCTTCAGCCATCAGAGAACGAACTATTGGCGCGTTCGGAGTTGAGGCTAAACGGGGGGCGGCAGGAGCACGGAGGGGGGTTAATGGCGACGCAGGCAGAGGATCGTCATTGGCTTTGGCGTGAATCTACCCAGCTACACGCATCTCCAGATGCAGGGCGTGAGCGGCGGCGCGAACTTCGGCATGACCCTCGCCGGTTCGCAGGGCCTCCTCGTCCTGTTGTCTTGCCTTCTCGGTCTTCCCTCGTCTCCTGTAGTAACAGGTTTCGTCGGGGTGATTGGCCTTGCAGTGATATCTGAGCCAGATGGGAAGTCAATTCTGCAATCCGAGAAGGTTCCTTGACGGTGGTAAGCTGGACGTTCTCCGTGATTGGGCTGTAGGTATTAATCCCGGGCTGTACTGGCAAGGGCTCTGGTGATTCGCGGGTTGAAGGTATTCGGCTCGAGGCCTTCGTCTTTAATGGCGGCCTTAATCAAGAGGTACTGTTCTTGTGGTCCCTCAATCCATGCACGCATGGCATGGCCCAGGGCCTGGATCATGCCGAGTGAGCCATTCCTCAGGTTCGAGAGGAAATTGAAACTGTACGCGCGTTGGCTCTGCCCTGCTTTCTTCACGATTGCCGCTGATCTTTCATCTTTGCCGTTGGAAACCACAAACTTCATCTGAAACAGCTGGGTCATCCGTCAATGACCAAACTCCAAGCGCCAGAATAATTCTTCTGTCGGGTTTGTTCGTACTCCATTTTCTGCCGGATTCAACACCACCATGGTGTGGTTGCTGGGCCGTGTGGGAGTTCTAACTTGTGGTTCTTTAGAAACAAATTGTTTCTAAGCAGAAAGAGTTTTGGCTGGTGAGATCGGAGTTTCCGGGCTGGACGCAGCGTTTCGAACCTTCGAACAGCTCTGCACAACCACATATCTTGACAGCCACTCAGTATTGCTGTCGTTTCTTCGAGTCCAGAGAAGAAGACCCTCGACATAAAGATCCGTGATCATCTCTGTGCATGTATGGAAGATGATGGTGAACAGAGAAAACAGCCCCCAGGAGGAGGGTAGAAGCCACGGGCACGCGGTATCTGGCCAAGTTGCTAACCGGGGCAGGGAATCCACCAGAGCATGCCGACGTGTTCAATGCGGTAAGCCCATATCGCTGTCTCTTGAGTAAAGTGCGCCGAGGTGCTCCTTGCTGAGAGGTTGAAGCCGGGCTTCCCTTTTCGACAGTTTGAACTCTTCGGATATATGTGTATATATGCACCTGTCAACAGACCCCGGCTCGACACCGAGTAAGAAGAAAGGGACGCCGATTGTGGGGGCGATATGCCTCATAGACCTGTTGATGTCTTCGCTCGTTGTCCGGTCCGTCTTCACTTGGTACTCGAATGCTCGTACCGGATCAGCATTCCGCGTAAAAGATAGGACAAGAGCGCCAAATTTGGTTCGAACTTCATTGTCGGCGTGGCGATCCTCCGACTTTCTGGCCCCGATACTACCCTTTCTTGCCTGCCTGCTGCCCCCTTTCACGAAGCAGCTATTCATTATCATTTTTGATCATGAAAGAGGATTTTGAAGTCTGGATTCATGTACCATTCTGGTGCATTTGCTCTGATGACAGCATGCATGAGGCCCAGTATTATTGCAACGCGGTCCACAGACAGAAAGTCCTCGTCATCATGGATGGTGGTGTCATACTGAAAGTGTGTGCAACCCCGGAATCGAGAGCCAGAGGGGTCATTGTAGACCCAGAATGGCCATAAGATGACAGCGTTCAAGCGATCTTGTAAATCTGTATATACTTGTGTATGCACGTGTAGTTGTTGAAAGATATTGATATGCAGGCTCCAGGTTGTCAGATTTCGGTAAGCGGTCACGTCCACCCTCGTGTTGAGTCCACCCTGGTGTTTTTAAGCGCTTGCAATGACTCCAGTATCAAGGCGAAGGCATCGATTCGTCGGATGGAGGTGTATCAAATTAACAAGAGGGAAAATGCCGCCTGGACATAAATGGGGGTTTCGAGTTAATCTCTGCTGCCAATAGTGGAATGAGACCAATGCCGAATGCCTGGATCAGGTCGTACACCGTTGACAAGGGAGAGGCTCCTGCGCATTGAATTCGTGCACTGCGCTGCCTCAGGGAATTCTTGTTTGTGCACATTTTGGCGTGACACAGCGAAATCAGCACATAATTGGATGGTCAGGGTGTGTGCAAGTCCTGTACCAATAGCTCTTAAGACGACATCAGTGGCGTTAAGGGCACAGGCCCTGCTTGTGAAAATAGACGGTTGCTGCTCGCTCACCGCCATGTATCGGAGCACGAGGTCAGGAAGTGGAGAGGAGTTTCTGGTCAATCCTTCCTTCCATCAAGCAACAGAAGCGGTGTTTTGCCAGTTCTTGACAGCAGTCCTCAGCGATTTCTTTTCATCCGTACTTAGTTGTGGGTTTCCCTGCCAGAGACAGTTCGATGGTGAGTATGTCCGAGTTGCAGAAGACGACTCACCAAGCTCATTTTCACTCCGCTCAAAAAAGCCCATTGCCAGCCGATGAAAAACACCCCCAGATGGCAACTTTAATTGGGACTTCTCAGGTCGGCGGCGTTGTCAAGCCAAGCGTGCAAAGCCTTACCACAGCTGCACCGCACCCAGTGTTGTTGAGTGCTTCGACAACACAACGACACTGTAAAGTTAACGACGGCTTCCTGCTCGATTGACGCTGGTTGGATTGGACTCCCGTGCAAGGCTCTCCTGCGATTTAACGTGTCCCGCAGCTAATCAAGAATCTCAACCCAAACCTGTGCTCGGAGTCGTATATCAGCCCATTGTCTCCCCTCTTGCGATCAGAAAAGCAGGAGCAGCGGCCGATGCAGCCGAGCTTGCTTGTGAAGGAGATAAAAGAGCATCCAGGCCTTTCCCACACAGCGTGGCCCAGTAGGTCGAACCATGTTTCGAAGGTCTGGCTGTCACTTGCCCGCTCCAGTATTGCAATTGTCGCATTTTGTGGCCTTGAGCTTATTCTCCGGCCAGATTGCCCATTGTCCCTAGGGCTTTGTCCGATTAACTTGTTGCTTTTCAGGCTCCCAGGGTTTCGCGTCCTGCAACTGCCATGGCTTCATTATCATAACACACCACGTTGGCTGGTGCCACGGCTCCACGCCGTTCAGGTTTCGCTGAAGAGGAGTTAACACTGATCGCACGCTCATGGGCAGTGCTATACAGTGGCAATATACAATATTAGCCTTCCATTCATTTCCCAGATACTCCCAGAGAGCAATTAGATGACCATTCATGTCGGTATGTGTCTCCATGAGTGACGAAAGACTGATTCTTTAGCCTCAACCAAGGAGTGGTTATCGTTTTAGCCAGCTGTTCCAATGAGCCGTTGTCCGTGCTAATATATCCGTAGCATGACCAGCAGTAAGCAGGCACATCATACATTTTCTGGCATTGTGCCTGACGGATTAGCTGCAGTGACCGCACACTAGTTGTGCAACTTGCGTACGAGTGCTGGAAAGTCATGGCGTTCTCGCCCTGGCCGCCATCCTCTTTCCGATTTCGGGGTCGTGCTCCATGGGGCAATGTGTGTGTGAGACTGCTTGGAGCAGACTCCCCCACACTGGCCTCCTTTCTTCCGATGGCACCTTGCAGTACAACAGTGCGCACAGTTGGCATCTTTTTTCGTCGTCATCGAAGAAACGAGAAACCCAGTGTAACGAAGTCGGCAACTTACAACATCTTCACCCTCGTGTATGTCCACTGGGGCCACATGCCGCCTGGACGTGATTGCAAGGCAGAAGATATCATATATCTTGTCCCAGGGACACTGACAAGCAACTTCAGGGGTCGTTCCAAAGCCCCACCAGTCTCATAAAGACACTGTAACAGGGATGCTCGACACTCCTCACCAGTCACTCATTTCCACAGCCTGCGGAACGGCCGGTATGCCATCCAACCTGTTGAATGCACGGGAGGTTGTGCGTTATGGTGAAGCCTTCTTCAAAATTCCTTTCGACATGACCGGGTACCACAGATGATCTTTTTCCGGGGCAAATTCTTGGATCTCGGTCACCAATTCTTCTCAAGATGCCAACAAGAGAATCTGTCCCGCTGCCGATGTAGATTCTCGGCCGACATTCGGGAGGGAAAAGTGTCATGATGTAAACGGCCCATAGCCGCAGGGCAGTAGAAGGGCCATATTGAATGGCCTGGGTATTCAAATTTCAAACTTTAGGGCTTCGAGCAGACCAGGAGCAATTTCCACTTGGCAGAGCAGGGCAGCATGTTCGTTCGGGAACATGAAATCCCAGCAGTTCGGCTAGTGTGTGCGTCGGGAAGGCCTAATCCAGCCTGTATACCAGATGACCTTTGTACTGTCGTCCCTCACAACCGTATTCCGCTCAATCAAATCAGCCTTGATGGTTGCAGCAAGCCAGCAGGAACGTGGCACCATTTCAGGGCCCATCTTCTTAGCAATGCCTGCCACGAACAACTCGATCTTCTTATGCCAGGTGACTGTGTTGACTTCGGTCACCGATCCGAGAGGGCAGTGGACCTTCCCGGCTTCGCATTGACCAAACATTGGGTGAGAAGGACTGATATCTTTCTTTAGCCTCTCACTCTTTCCATCAATGGCCTGGTAGTTTTGGGCAATCTTGATGACTTTATTCGTCAGCCTCTGGGTCTCGATGATGCTGTGTAATACTGTCTTTGATCGACCAGCGACAGCTTTTCGGGATGTTGAGGTCATGTATCAAGTCACAACTCTGATCCAAAATTTCGACTGTGTTGTGGCCGGAGGCAAGGTCACAATCAAGAAAGCATCAAGTCCCATAATTCCCGGAAGTACATGCGGACCCCGGCATAGTAGAAGATTATTAGTCGGAATCTTGACGTTAGGGACAACGACACCTCTAACGTCAGAGGCAAAACACTCTGTCTGCGAGACCTTTCGCTTGCGAAGAAGCCAGCCGGAATCCAGTAGATCCCCAGTAGGGACCAATACATGTTCCGAAAGAGCCCAAACTCGTCGATAAAGCACATAAATGGCATGGAAACGGAGTCTGGCTCACTGAAGAAGTCGAGTATGCAGTTCCTCGTGTAGTGTTCCACCACCAGTGCATAAGCTAACCAACTCCACGCCTGTCAGATCTTCATAGTGTTTGGACCACACTCAAACCCGCCGGCGAGTCGAGGGTCTTTCAAAATTTCAGAATAGTATCCACATCCTGCCTGCATTTCAGAGTGGAACTCGTTTAGAAACTCGCTCCATCTGGCTTGCCAGCGGTTCCGTAACTTTGTTGACATAAAGTATTCGAGTGAGCAGTGGTCCGCAAGCACCTCACGCGCATGCATGGCCTGGATCCACTTCCGCCCTTGTCAGTCTCCACTCTGCAAACGCCCTCATTATCGCCAACACTTCCTTGTCGTATATTTCGTAGTTGCATTCAGCCAGGCACATCTTCAGAAAGCAGGAGATGATAGGCCATAATGTGAATTTAGCCATCCACTAGGCTAGGCCGCAACTCATCCTAAACCCTAAACCCTAGCCTTCGTGGGGGTGGCCACGATGTCCGGCGCCTTATAGTCACTTTCGATTGTGTCTTCTGGAGCAGGGGCGACAGCCTTGGGAGGGGGGGGCAATTGTTTCAGCATGGCGGCCCGGGCATCCTCCGTGATGGGAAGGCCAAGGCGGGACAGCACCTGTAGCCGAGTGGTGGTGATGCCTCCCGGCTCGGTGTTCAATGCATCAGGGTCAGCTAAGAACGACATTATAAACAAATGTTCATTTTGGATAGAGATCTCACCAGATGGATGCTGGCAAGCGCGTTAGGGGGGTCGTATTCCAAAGAGCACAATCGGAAATCCTGGGAGAACGGCAGCACGTAGGTTTGATGAAAACGCAAGAGTGGAATTGCCGGTTGTGCCATGATAGATATATGCAATGTAGCATCATTCCTGTGACTTCTACCTCCATTACTTGTATTGGCGCGTAATGGAGGTAAGCATCTTTTCAGCAGGCGCCGGCACACGCCCTAGGAAAAACATGGTGCCAGCGACCACTCGAGTCTCCAAGGATATTGTTGATATATAATATATTTGGCAGTGGCGGCGAAAGACTGGTTGGTAGGTGGGTGAGTTGGTGTGAGAAGCATGTGCCATGTCTGATTTTGGCATCTTGTTGCGCCGGGCTTTCCACGCTGATCCCAATACTCGTCAAGGAGCTCTTGAGTAACATTTTCGGGCTGAGGATCAGATCTTTGAGCATCTGACATTTTTCTTGGTCAACGTAGGACAGCCTCAGCTGGATGATTCGGTTCTGGTCTGGATGGCGAAGCGAGGCCATAAAGACCAGAAGTTTTCGGTCGACATCTTCATCTCAGACGAGGGCAGGAAGACCCGTATCCTGCCCCAATTTGATATTGACCACATCCTAGCCATTTTCTTTCCTCCCAGGTGCAACAATCCAGTCTACCTGTTAGATTTCTTCCTTTGCGCTGATTTTGCTCTTGCCTCTGCCCTTTGACTTGGGCTTCTTTGGCTTCAGTTCGCGGCTCCGCATTACCATGACCTGCTCCACTGAGATCCGTCCGCTTTTCCACAACCTCTGCAACACTAGCGGTGAGAAGTGTTTCGAGAAGTAGCGTAGTGCTTTCGCCGATCAGTAAACGGAAGTCGTCGCAAGTGATAATGGGCCGCTGAATGGAGGGTAGAGTTTTTGTTGACATCCAAGCTTAAGAAGCTCGCTCTGAAATTTGCATTGGAACCCTGCTTCGATATGCCTGTTTCAAGGTCACTCCAGACGGCGGTAAACAATGTTGCATGCCTGAACGGTCTGGGAAAATCCTCAACAAGCTATCGGAAGCTTCTCAGGGGTTCTTGCTCTCATTTCAGTGTCATCAACAACGCCCAGTTGACGTTTGCTCTCCGCGCAACAGCATCCATAAAAAGACCAGATCTGAGCCCTCGAAAGTATTCCAGGTCTTCGTACACTTTCTGAGATTGGTCGAAACCCAGCCGCCGAATATTCTCGATCCCGCATGCAGCAACCGACCAAACCCACAGTTACCAATGGCGTGTAGCATCTTTATGCTTCAGAAGACTCAGAACGATATGGGGCCGTCAAGTTGGAAGGGTTGCTCCGTTTTTCAAGGTCTCCCAGGAGCCCAGTACTCACTGTCGCCGGCTTTCGAAAGAGGTTGACACCGCATTGTGACATTGTCATATGAAGACAAGACGAAGAACGCAGTTCATATCTCGACCAGTCAAAGTGCAATAAGCCAACCTTTTCAACTTCGGAGTATTTCGGCCTTCAATTGCTTGAGTATCATGCCGGGCAGTCAATTGCACAATCTTGAGCATCCGAGAATTCTTTCGCCACCGGAGTCAAACTCGAAGTCCAGTGCTTCATTAATAGCCGCGACCACCGAACTTATGCTTGCGATATGGCCCAGGGACGTAACGGTGGCCTCATCAAGAGACCCCTTGTAGCAGGGTAGTCCATTGAACACCACCGCCCCTGTTGAGAAGGCACATCGTATGGTACGGAAACCTGGACATACCTCCAATGTTCAGATGTTCAGATGACAGATGTATGAACTCTTGAAGAAGTCCCAGATTCGCATACCCTTGGCCAACAATACTTCTTCACTGGGTTCGAAACTGTACTGCCTGTTGGATGCGACTTCTTATCCGGCAGGAGTTTGTTCAAAAGGATCACAAATTGCTGTGGCTAAGCGCTGTTGAAGCTGATCCACATGGAGTATGGATTAGAAAACCAGAAAGCCCCGCTACTTTCTGTCCTTTGCCCGTGAGGCGACGGACCTTGGCCACATCCGCGTGTTGAGTCCGTGTCCCTCACCGCAAAGTTGCTTTTGCTGCAATGGCGAATCTACCGTTAGTGCAAAAGCAGCGCACCTTCATCGTCAAACCACCGGCTGCCTCTGTTCCGCTGGATCATCAGCGATGAAGGGAGATCCATCCATTTCCTACTGTCATCTTTGTCCGTAGACCATTCTTTGGACAGTGGTGGGGCCAGACCAGATGGGAGAACACATGCCAGACTCACTTTGTCAGGCCTTCTCGTGGTTCTGTACCGTTTTCGGTTCGGCTTGCAGCTTTATCTCTTCCAGCAGGAGGCATAGCGACCACACAAAGGAGACTCCTACTAAGTCCTTTCGCATAGAGTCGGATAGGGGTGCTGTCCCGGAGACATCCAATTTCAAATGCTGCAAAGGTCACAAGAGTCATAGACGTGGTACCAGACCTGCAGCATTTGTAATCAACGACGCCCGTGTGGCATTGTTTCATTTTATTTCGCGAAAACAGAGCCCTGCTGTGATGGTCATGGTGGCAATGTCTCTTCATCATCTTCGGTCAGATCGACAAAGCTTGCGTTTCTGCTCGGGTGTGGCTGCTAAACCCTAAACCCTAAGATACATGCCACCCCATCCGAGCATGAGCATGGGTGTCATAGAAGGATAAGGCGGCCATTTTGATCGGCGTCACCGCCGCGGTCTGCCCCTAAACCGCAGGATTAGTACGACCACAGCGGCAAACCCACACAATATGAGGGCACTCACGATCAGAGAAGGGTGTTTATCAAACGGTTTGCGCTTTTGTGGTCGTCGCACCGGAGGAGGAGAGACGGGCCGCGGCGCCGCGCTGATCACACACAGTCCAGTAGTGTCTGCCAGGGCGATGATGGCGCGGGTTTCCAGATGATATGTTTATATAAAGCATCCCTGTAGCATCCCGGAGCTCCCCTTTGGGATGTTCCCTTGGACAAATCTCGCAGAACCAGTTCAGGTGTCCCTTTTTCTTCATGTTACCAGTGTAAATTTTTGCACAAGTCGCATTTGACTGGAACCAGTAGCTGGAGGACAGACACTGCGTATGTTAGCGAGAACGGCCCACGGACGTGCTGCGGTCACTTTCAAACTAGAAATGCACCCGATCCATTCCTTGCGAGAGCGGCGTGCTTTGCCTTTCCGAGTCTGTCATCCATAGTGGACAAGCATACCTTACCTTGGCTCGAATCTTGATACTGGCCAACAGCGTCTGTTGCCCATTTGTTCTCCGGTGTTGTTCCCTAGAAACTCTCTGTCATCTGGCCACAGTCCGAATGTCCCTTCTTGTCCGGTTGAAAACTACCGTTCCAAAAAAATTTCCAATTCCTCCTTTCAGCTCTCCGAATAGGGCCAGTGTTGAAAAAACATTTTTCGAAGTCGACATGGAGTGCAGTGCTATGAAGACGACGATACCGAACATGTGACAGACGACAAACTGGACGAGGCAACGATCGGTTCCGGGACCATGCTTTTTCACGATGGCGACGTCTCACCAAGTTCCAGCATGGGAATGCTGACAATGGCAACTGTACCCACGCTGTTTCGGAGGTTGTTGAGACCCGTCCTCAGATTCCCGAGGAGAAGTATCATCAGGAAGATGCTGAATAGAGAAGTTGTCTTCTTCATTCTTGCGGTTGTTACACGACTTGACTTGTTCCGAGAAGACGTCGATGCGGCTTGCAGAGAAGAGAAGAGGTTGCTGGCGAACGTACTTCCCAAAACAACGACCGAGACAAGAGTCCAGCTTGGGCATGAGGGGTCATTGAAATTGCGCTGCGCACTGCCTCGATACGATCAGTGATGCTCGTTTGCAGCCACATGTTAGCTGTGTTGGCTCCAGCTTGTTCATGAACATGGCCACCAAGGGTTGCTCAAAGTTCCAACGGCCGTCCGCTGATGCCTCGGTCATTGGTATTATGGGCAAGCAGGCACCGCAATGCGTTTCCAGTGGTTGCTGCGTGCGTTCATTAGCACATTGGTGGCTGGGTGGTAAACTGCCGTCATGGATAGGTTAACATGCGCACGTTTGAAAAGAGCTGTGCAACCTGGGATGAAAATTCCGGGTCCCGATCGCCGAGGAGGAAGAAAGGGACATATTGAGTTTGTCCAGGCATTATGCGAGGTTTGACCAGCCAACGCATAGACTACTACAGTCCCCGGGCCAGCAGCCATTGTGTATCAGGAGAACTGGGGTCAAACCTCAGTTGCATCCGTCACTGACGGCACTTACAGAAAACACTGCTTCTGCTTTGAGGTCGGCCAGAACCATAGTCTTGCATGCACATGATGCTGCACAACCTCGGTCATTTGATGCATACAAGATATTCCCCACCATATCAGCCTTGCCTCTTCATGGCTTGTGGACCTGGTGATGGAAGCCTTGGTCTTTCCGATCTTTTTGGATTTTTCAGGGTTGTGTGCCTTCATGTCCCTACCTACTCTCCAGGTACATGACCGGGTTTCTTGCACGTTCCCCTAGACAGCCCATGAACTTAAGCCCGGCGAGATTGAAGTTCCATCTGCTTCGGGCCACGTCTGAGCTCGGCACCCTAACATGATTAGCATAGACCTCGTATACGACTCAACCGTAACTCACAAAAACACATCGACCAACGGTGCGCCTCTTGCGCGCGCATTTCGCGCACCTTTTAGTTGTGTCCGCGATGAACTCGACGACGCCATGGGGATCCGGTTGCATAAGGTCAGGAAAATCGACCTTCCTAACAAGTTAGTACAGCAACCAATCCCTAAGCGATAGGCTATTCTCTTACCTTTGGCCCTTCCTTTAGGCGTTCCAGCTCGGCATGAGGAGTGGCCTCCGAGTCGTCGTTAAAGTAGCCGTTCCCAAAAAGTGTGGCGACGGTCCTCGTGCTCTGGCGTGTGGGCTTGCGAATCTTGAGCGTATCTACACGCTCTATTCAGGGGTATCCACCTGATACGCGTCAACAGTCCTGAGCACTTCCAGTTGTTCTTTGTTAGTGAGGGTACTGACGATATACTGTATGGAGATTGACCGTAGGCTTTTCCCACCAGCCAACCGTAGCTGGCAAACCTCTCCTTAACTGTAACCGTAGTATTAGGATTGTGAGGCCCACGACAAGCCTACACCAGATCCCGGAAATCTTCGTCCGTTATGTAGCTTGTAATAAGTCGGTAGCAAGCATTGTAATTGATACCCATGTACCAGCACTTGTTGTCGAGATCCTTGCTCAGATATTCCCCATGCTTGTCGTTTTCGACAATTTGCATCATCCGGATCGCGGTAGCAGGGAAACGAATGGTAGCTTTGAACTGGGAGACATCTTTGTGTCGTTTGTCCAGGTTGCCCAGTATGATTTGAAGCGAACTGATATGTTCCGAAACATGGAATTGGATTCGGGCAAAGCTGCCATGGTAGATCTTGGAACCATCCTCGCTGATCAGCTGTGCTGGATAGGTAATATCCGATGGAAACGAGGTAGATTTGTACTGATCTTCGATGACGGTATTGTATTTGTCATCCTCGCCTAGGCTTTTGTCGGCTGTCAGATCGCTGTTCTCGATTGCCTCTTTGATGCGTCGCTCTTTTTCAGCAGCTTTTGCCTCATCCGTAAGCTTTGCGGCCTTCCATGGAGCGCAACTGTAGGCCTGGGTAAGGCTTGTCTAGGATATCTTAGCATGTGTTGTCGACAAGTTCTGGTGGGATGCCGATATATAGGACTCCACAGTCCACAGCTTGCGAACTGCGCGTATTCCAAGAAACCTGCGTGACGAGATTGATCCAAATACCCAGGTACTTTTGCTTGCGTGCCGAGCGTTGTTGATAGCGATAGCTGCACACTTGCTGTCCCATCCGCCAAGCACAACTCCATGCTTCCTCCACTTCTCCTCGATTTCCGAGTCTCTGACAGTAGAATAATGGCAATGTGAGTAGAGCAATCAAGGCTGTTAGCCCCGACCCCGGGGCAGTGCCTTTGGCCATGGACAGACGGGTGTGCTGCGGAGCATTGATGGAACAGCCTCTGTTTCCTGATGTTTCCGTTGAGAGCTGCGGACGCTGTTGTCTGGGCTATGCAATGCCAGCCATTAGACATGGTGTGAAGAGTGAGCGCGACCTGAAAAGGAATTCCTGTTCTTGCCAGCATTTGCCATCTGGTCCAGAAGATGCGACTCGGCTGAGAACATGGAAAAAGCTTGGAATTCCGAATGCCTCGTGGGCCACCACGATTCGAACCAAGGGAGGTCAACTTCTTCCATTGGCCCATCATGTCACGTAGAACGATACCCCTGAAAGGTCCTTCGCAACAGAAGACAAACTGTGCTGCTCGCCTGCTCCTTTCAACTTGTAATCATGGAGCATCCCCTTCCCCCACCATCATTCCTAGGAACGTTTCTGATTCCGGGTAGATATTTCAGGGGTCGAATGGGTCCGTAGACCATTATCTTGATTGAATTCTGAACTCGTGTTTGGCGAACCAAAGATGCACAAGACAAAACCGACAACCAAAATGCAGGGACGGGCGTTATAGCATTCTGGCGGTTGGAACCACATTCGCCTTCTGGACCCTTTGGCTGCCACCGACCAGGAGGTTTCAAGTCACCTTTGATTCTTTGTGCCCACCGTCTCAAGTCGCTTCGCCGATGGACGATTTCAACAACAAAGTCGTGTTTCCCATCCTTCGCTCGCTAGTGGTCGTTCCTTATCGTTGATCGCGGTAAGCGAAGGGCGCACAGCGACACAACAGCAATCTGTCTCCATCTTCCTAAATCATTGTCTATTTTCACGAATTTCATGACCAAACCCTTCGTTGGGCGTCCTTCATAGGACATATATCGAACAGCTTGAGCCAGTACTCACACCGACACGATCTAGATTATGGGTCATTTATTGCCATAGTTCGCATTCCCTTGCTGCGCCTGCCCTTCTCCTTTGGCCATGGACACAAGAACCACCATCTTTTGATCTTCACAAAACGACCGCAACATGGGCCAGTTTAAACACCTGCGTTAGTTGCAAGTATATGTATATATCATGCCGATAACGACTGATAGCGGCTGGGATTCTTTCGCCAAGCCGGAGGCATGCCCAGGCCGCTCGCTAGTGGTACCTCGCCGCTCAGGCCGTCTGGTCAGAGTTTGGATGAGTAAAAGACTGCCCGGAACCACTTGTAGAAGGCCAGAGTATCAGAGCGCATGAGTTCGGAAATGGTGGATGGTATTATAGTTCTCTCGGAGAAGATACAACCAAAGGATGGTATATCAATCCATGCCATCATTCCACTTGAGATCGGACCTCCAGAGAATTTCTCGTTTCCAATGTGGCATGCCGAGCCAACAAGAACGTTGTTGTCTTCCAAGAGGCTCGTATAGTGGTGTTCGTAAAGTGGTGTTCGTAAAGTGGTGCTCGTACAGCAGAGCTTATAAGATCTGTGGCTTCCAAGTAGTCTCTCTTGACTTATCCGAGCCCTTCTTGTCGCGTTTGGTCTGGGTCTCAGGCTCTTATGATCGGTTGGGCTCTGGCTTACCTGATTCCATGGAAGCGTTAGCGAACATACTCGTCAATCTGTTTCTTGTCTTTCTGACGAGTCCGTCGCTCCTTTCGAGGCTGCCTCTTTTCTCTATTTTCAGGCGCCGATAACGACGACAGAGAAGTTCAAGAGTCGAAGAGACAGTGGGAAACTTCCATTGGTGTTGTTTGTAAGACCCCAATGAGTCAGTTTGGAGTTCCAGCTTTCAATGTATTGTTTTCGGATCCTTCCAGCAACAGCACATATGTCAACCCCCAAAATGTTCTCCCATTCCAATAGTGCTTGAATTGCTCATTCAGCTTCGTCGTGGTGTAGCATGCAGCATGCGAAGGACGCGCGGCCACAGACCTTCTTGAGGACCTGCTCAATATGGTGGAGGCGCCGCACCGCTACAGACCATCTTCATCGCGCTCAATATGTGAACACAGCCCATTCCGTGCTTGGCTATTTGTAGTTCGCTTGGCTATTTGTAGTTCGACACGGGCGCAAGACCGTATGAGGCTCCAAGTAGCCGACCATTGATGTCGCACACATGATAACGGGGCACCACGACAGAGTATTTGTACCTGGATGCGGGTGCGAGACCGCAACCCGCCCACCGATGAGATCACTTGTTGATATCTTGGACCTAGCCAAGTCATGACCAGCGGGGACGAGGCAAGCTCCGCTGGCTTTAGCCTCTTGTCCACAAGGCCGCGAGAGCCTGGGCGATACAGTAAGGGGGACTGCAGAAGTAACGACGTGAGTGGGTTCGCAACTTGTCGGCCACCATCCAAGCCAAACATCTTCCGGCAGTTTGGGCTTGTGCTTCGTCCCCCGAAACTCAGGAATGCTATGGTAAATGAAATCCGCCACAGCCGGCCCCGCCAGAGCAAGATGGAGTTCAGAACTGGCATGGCATGTACTTCTGGATACCCGACTGGACAACATCCGTTTCTTTTCGCGAAGAATCGGCGTTTGATTTGATAGCAAGGCTAACTTGTAGCAGTAGCACGGGTCTGCCCAGTATACCATGTGTCTCAGCACGTCACTCAGGTTCGACCTCGGTCGGCCTGCGGCGTTTCGAAACGCCCCCGACGATTTCTCAGGGTATTTCGGTGGCCGTAAACTCGCAGCGCATAACCAGCTGGCAGAGCGGGCGATACACAATCTTCAGTGCGCAGATTTTACAGCAAATTCCGGATTTTTGATGCTCCATGTGTCCAATCCCGTCCCGTTCCGTCCACGTCCGACATAGCAAACTGGTTTCGATCACCAATGAACTCGAGACCTTCAGATCACCAGACATATGCATGACCGCCCATTAAGACAGCCCCACACCATACGACACTGACCATAGTCCATAATAGCTTGGGCGTCGGTTGATTGAAATTGTTCGTCGTGACTACTTGCCCAAGCGTGTTATGCGCTGGCCAAATATGCATTCTTGAGCGGATTGATGCTTTCCTTACTGCGTTTTGATCAACGCAATAACGCGTCAAAGACGTTCATGTTGAACTTCCCCACCAGGGCTTGAAAGTCATCCGTGTAACGTTGTACTTCGAATTCGTGCCTGGAACCACCTTTCTCTGCGTCCCTTGTACGTCGTACAATAGAGAATATTTAATTTCTTCTTGTTGTAGTTCTCGACGTTGGTGAGCTGAGGTCGGTTCTTCTTGGTGACTGACTCGTGATCTGTCATGCCAGTCTTCCCTGATACGCAACCATGTTCAAATGTTTCTCAATATTGGGGCCCATCCGCAATCCGAATCAGGACAGAACTTGTGCTTGCTGTATATACACTGGACAAAAGGGCAGCACCACACCCAGAGCCAAGGATGAAGTAGAGGATGAGAGGGATACGGTAGATTGCATCAAGTTCACAAAGACTGTGTCTTTTCCGTCAGGTTCGATAACGGACGCACTTTCTGCTGGCCCATGCTCGCTTGCAGACGTGTATCGTCATGGTGTTTCATGCGTTTCTCGAGTGAGCGTTCGAAACGATACATCGTAGGATGGAAAACACCTTTCCGAGGAAGATTTTCTTCTCTGCAAGAATGTACTCATATAGTGACGCCTGTTGTCGTGAAGTCCGAACATTGAACCAAAGATGCATTCGACAATAACAAACATGGTAATGGCAACAACATGGTGCTTTGCTGAGATCGGGAAGGATTCGAGTGCCTCAGCGAACTCCGAACGGACGGTGCATCATTGTATCATCAGGGGCGTCGAGTGGTATACCTGAGAAACAGGAAAGCCCAGACTGCTGCCCAGCCGAGCCGCCAATCCCATAGGGTTTTGGGAGATGGGAACAGCTCATACAATGGCGGCCTTTGTCACTGCGTGGCAGTTTCCTCGCAGATCTCGCAGACAGAAGTGTAAATCGACCAGGCGGATCCAATGTTCTGCTTTTGAGATCACGCTTCCCAGAGGGACCTTGCCAGGAGACCAAGCTTGAATCCTTGATGTCAAGGTCCTCGTCATCCGTGAGCTTGACACCATAGACTCCACGAGAGAGATGGGATGCTTCTGTTATTAAGCATGGGCAATCGCCACACCTCGAGCCAGTTCAGCAGCTCAAGCCTTCCATTTCCAACGGTGCCCATGTCCATCCAGAGGAACTCCGAAAGATAACATTATCCTCTCCGAACAGTCGCCATACAATTGAGCGCCGCGAATATGATATATTCTTTTCCTCCGTTCGCTCTAGCCGTCATGAATCTTGCATTCTCGACGGCGAATATGCCACAGTCGTATGCGTTCTTGCCGAATTTGACTGGTTAAGATGCCGCGGATAAGGTAGCAGGTCAATCGCGAAACACCGGTTGTACCAGGGTATCTCGATTCCGGAAGAGTAGAGACCCTACCAGCTCGTGTGCCGCCTCCCTATTTCGATGGTCGCTCTCGGAAACAAACTCGTCCTCAACAGCTTCGATGCGATCGGCCAAGTCATCCAGGACCATCTCCAAAGCATCCTGGCGAGTTGACATGTCGACAATGCGACGAGCGACACGATCGTGCAACTTGATCTCGGGTAGTCAGGGACAATGCCGGTATGTCCGAGTACATGTCATTCGTGATTTTCCGACGCAATAGAAGCAGAGCATCCTGCGGAAACAAGGCACTGCCGCCTGCGTTCGAAGATTGTGCCAAATTGCCAATGATCACTTCAGCAGTCTTGAACTTGCCAAGCTCTCGAGGAAGTACTCTAGTTGATGGCACCTGAACTGGAAACTCGTATTTGACACCGCCAGTGCCAGTCTTCACTGGGCCAGTAGGTTCTTTCTTTGCAGCTGTACTGAAGACTATGGTGATCATTCGATTGGTGCTGCATGGATTTCGACATGTGGGTGTATGTACATATGTATGTATGTCGAAGAAGAAGAGTGGTCGAGTAAGCTTCCTCGTGCCGCGGTTCTTATCGGAAGATGTAAATGTGTCTTGCTTTCTTCGCTGGGGTCACAGAGATTTGTTTTTCGAATATGCGGATAAGTGGCTGTTGTGCAAATGCGTGGCGTTTCAATGAGGTGTGTATGTATGTATATATAACTTTTGTGCCAAGCAAGACCCTCAATTCTTGAAGCAAAGTAAGACCCTCAGGTCTCAAAGGAAAGCAAGACCTTCAAGTCTCGAAGGAAGCAAGACCCCCAAGTCTCGAAGGAAAGCAAACGTACAGCTGAAGTTGCTCAAGACTGAAGGATGCAATGTAGGATGAGAGGACAAAAGAAAAGATCAGAGGGGAAAACGGGAGGAAAAGCAGGGTACTTATACCTCTGGCATGTCTGCGATGACTCGAATGATCGTGAATCCTTCCCAGTCATCCACAGAGTCACATCCATGCTGGCGTTTCAAAGAAGTCAAGTTTTCAAGCACATCAGTCATTGTATGCATGTCTATTGTTTCATGTTGATGCGTGTCGTAGATACAGTTCGTAACAGCATGTAAATACCCGCTTCAAACTGACGCCCACTCAGTCTCGTAGTCACTGAATGACGAATCCGTGAGTAAATATGAACCACACACGCTTCTCACCTTGAATCCAGGAACCCACCACCAATCCTGCAACGCTTGCATTCTGGTTTTGGATTGAAGCTTGAGACAAACTTCATCAGTCGAAATCTATCACTGGAGCCAGAAAGTCCAGCTCTGCACCGCCCTCGTCACCTCCAGAGCCACCTCTATTCTTCTCACCCTTGCCGGCTAAAACATTCTGGACAAATCCAAATGCACTGACGATCTCATCTTCAGGATTTACCAGCTGAAACATCCGCGTCACCCACTCGTCCGTGCCGATGATGAAGTCGTCCAGATCGGGGACTGCAGCCAGGGTGGCATACGAGGCGTAGTCAAGTGTCGAAGTCAGAGGGCGTGTGATTCGAGTGAAGGAAGCAGGTGAGATCGCAGTTTCGTTACCATCAAGTTTGAGTGGTGATAGTGATGGTGGATGGGTCTCAACACGTCCAGTTCTGGACCGCTCGGCCGCCTTTCGATCGAGCATGTCCACAAAGGATCCAATCACCTCGATGCGCTGGTTATACGTTCCTTTCAGCATGTTCAACTTGCACAATTCGGGGATTCCGCCCATCACGAATAGTGTGGCCAAGTCCGCATCAGTGGGAGGCTTGCGACTCCATCCTCTAAGCTTTCGCTCGATGGACCCTGCATACGTGGGCGCGCGGCTCAATGACCGAAGATGTTGTTGACAGAGTGCGTAGAAATGGTATGCCGGGATGATCTCGGTACCTGGATAGGAAAGCAGAAGTCTTCTTACAAAACGCTTGCATGAAGGACAGGAAGACGCAGACTTGTCTGTGCTGCTGCCCGTCAGGTTCGGCTGGGGCTGCGGATGGCCTGGATGCTCAAATATGAGCATCAGCCTGTACTTGTCCAAGAAGTGGTATAGCGTCCAGGCAGCCAGATGCAAGCGCCGAATCAGCTTGGCTTTATAAGGGGAAAAGTCATTGAACCGTGGACAGCTGGCAATCATGTAGATCTTCATGTGGACATAGCCTCCGATGATAGACAACATCCTATTGATTTGACTTTGTCTTTTCACCATCTGCAAAAGATAGTCCATCGACCGGCAGGGAAGTGGTTGGGGATAGAGGGTCTGGATATAACTGTAAGTATCCCATGCTTTGCTGTCATTGACATTGTCCTCGAATGGGTGCCAACAGTGCTCGTGGGCGCTTTGGATGAGAAGAGATCGCGTTATCGGAGCGGCATGGACGTTCAAGAAGCCGTAGACAGAACGGCAGGTCCGTCGAAGGGCAAATATATCTGCTTGAGAGAGGTGGCACAGGATCTGGACAATGATCTCGTCTGGCAGTGAGAAGAACATCTCTCCTAACCTTTGGCTAATGAGGCTGTCAGTATCGGGCTGTTCATCCCGCGACCTCATTCCGACTGGTATACTGACGCCGCTGGATCCGAACATGTCTCCGTCTCCTTCGACGACTCCCGTCTTTTGGATCGCGAGAGACGGAGAGAAAGCCCTCCCAAACTCGGCCGTCGGGGAGGTTGTTGGCTTTCTGCGTGCGACGTTCGACGCGACGATTCTCCGCTCGAGGAGCCACTTTCGACATGGTTCGCGGCGCTCGACCGACGGAGGATACTCGTCACCATGACCATGCTGGCTGCGAGGACAGGGTTGCAAGAGTGGATGTGTTAGCAGTCCGCAGCAGGCTGCGAGAGGATGGAATGCATCAAAAAAGATTGCTGCTGGTTCCGCGCGGCAGCCGCAGCAATCGAGAAAGGGTCAAGGCTCAAGAACAATAGACACAGCAGCAAGACAATCAAGCCGGCCACGAATAACGACGCAAACTCAAAGTCACGACCACGACAGTCAAACGGCAACTCGAGTCACGCTGAGAGGCGACGAAAGAGGTGGTGACAACGTCCTGATATATGCAACACGCTTCAAGTTTGACTCCAAGGTCGATTCCGAGATCGACGGGCGGGCAAAAACGGCAGGCTCTCGGTTGCGGCGCGGCTCCTTGATTGGGACTGGTTTCATCACAGGGCCAGAAGATAAGCATTGCCAAACTGCCTCGCTGTCCATGGCAGGGGCCGGACGAGGGTCACAGCGCGGCGCGTCGTCTCACGATCGTGACGGGTCGGACGGTCGGATGGTGCAAAGGTTGGTTCGCGGGATGGCAAGGTCCAGGATTCGGCGCAGGGGCAAAAGTACAAGTCGGGCCGATGTCTGTCTTGGTCAACACCCGGAGTCCATCGACTTACTATCAGCGGCAACTTAACCACAATCACTCGGGATCGGAGACGGAGAGGTCCTTTCTGCAAACAGATTCACGGTAGTCAGAGTTGGAATGTAGCACAGCATTGACCCATATTATACATAACCTACTGAGACGCTGTGTTGGATGCTAAATCAACCCCCAGGCCTGCTATGCACTCGACGCTCAGCTGTACACTGCAATGCATGCTCTGTACCTTATCTGTACTACCGGTCTCTTGTAGCCTCTAGTATTTAGTCCGGCTGGGAATCATGGCCAGTTGCTCCTTAATCTTGCCATCGAGTCCCAGCAGTTTATGGATCCACTCCAGAATGATGCTGAAGCTTTCAGGCTCGCCCATATGTTTCTTGCCCTTGACCATTCTGGCCAGTTTCGGCTGCCCGTTCTCCAGCGACACGAACATGTCGTCAATGGGAAAGATCTCGTCGTCATTCCCATTGACCAGGAGGACTTTGGTACACGGCTTCTGCAGCGTACCGTCGTTCAGCAGCGAGAACTTACTACTCTCTTCAATGAACGATTCGAGATCCGGATATCCAAACTTGTAGGCCAATGTGTTGGACAGATCGAAAGGATATTCCAGCTTGTTCGCATGTTCCAGCCACTCGCGGTCAAACATGTGATGGGCACCACCGCCTAAGCTGATGGTTGCCAGCAATCTGTCCTTGTGCGTGTGAGCCATTCGGAGTGCGTAGTAACCGCCCGTCGAGAAGCCCCAGGCCACGATTTTCTTGCTGTCGACCGCTTTCTGGGACTCAATCCAATCCAACACACTAGACCATTGTCGGTCGGGACTCGTGGGATCTTGTCTCAGAGCCGGAGAATCACCGGTGCCGGGAATCTCTGCAATTACCGTCGCTACACCTTTGCTGCGCCAACCTTGTTGCCAGACAGCAAGCTCGGTGCGGTATCCGTCCAAGCCGGTGATGATCAGGACACATGGGACGGGGCTCGTTTCGGAAGCATTCGGCGGGAGGAGGAAATTGACCGGGACGACGTCGCCCTCGCCCTCGATGCCATGCTTGTGAGGAATTCGAACTTCTTTGATGGGATACTCCATCAACCTGTTAACACCTTCTTGTCAATGTTGCATTCTTCGCGGGGGGATTTCCCTGGGTGCCACTAACGCTGCCCCCTTGTAGAACACTTCGCAGCCCTTACGCCATGCATATTTCTGCTTCTCTGAGCGAGGGGTAGGGAATCGAGAGATGCGGTAGACGGCACTGCTGCGGAGGTAGTATTCCGAAGCCTTCTCTTTCTCGCCTGCAGCCTCCGCCTCTTCGGCGATCTTCGCGAGTTCCTCGGCTTTGGGGAAGTACATCTGCGCATATTCGTCCCAGTCGTAAGGTTCTTTTAAGCCTTTCTGATCGCGTGTCAGTACGGAAACAAACACAACGACAGGAATGCCGCACCTTAATAATCTCCTGCGCCACGGGTTCAAAGTCCTTGATGCTGCCGAACATGAACGGGTAGACACCCATCTCGCACTGCGCAGTTGATGAGCATCTTCAAGCCGGGCTTCCTTGCTCATATCCACCTACCGGCTTCTTCCATTTTGTTTCCCATAGTTTCTGGTATGATTCGTGATGGACCGCAGGTTTGGTGATTGCGTCTCTAATGTAGTACTTTTCCGTCGCCATGATGAGGTCTTTTGAGCCAAGGGGTTTTATCTTTCAGAACAGAGGTATTCGTATAACTGCTGCAGTAGAGACAACGTCCAGCAGGGAGATTTTAATATCGTGAAGCAGATCAATAAGCGGTTCCAAATGGTGCCGAGGCCGAAGGGCGGATAAAGGTCCGGGACAGGGGGTTTGTTTTCAATGGAAGGGGACTTTGATAGTGGCTATGCAAAAGACGGTGCCGGCTGGTGGGGAGGACTTGAAGGCCATCTCGTGGATAGGGGCCACAAGATTGAATTTAGTACATAAACGCAGTCAACCATCGATAGAGGTGTCTACCATAGGTACTATGCCCGCGGTCAGCAAGGTGGTCGGTCTACCAAGGGCCTAAAAGTGGGCAATTTGGGGAGCCATGTGAGACCCGGACAGTGATGAATCTCCCAAGCTCGCGGGGCCATTGTCGCTTCCCGGGCACTAAAGTTGCCGCCTAAGCCGGGTAAAGCTAGAGGCAATTTAGGGGTGAGTTCATTGCAGAGCCATGGTTCAAGTTCGGCATTGGAATGTCTGTTTATCCATGGGTGGCTACCTACTACGACGACGATGATGATGCTGATGATGCTGCTTCTATAATTGGCGCTGACCACCTGCAAGCAACTAGCTGCGGAATATCTTCAGCCTTGGGCCATTGCGGATTGGGCTGTCATGCCTCGTCTGTCTAGTCTCGGAGTTCAAGCACTGACACTGGCACTGCAGTCAAGCAAACTCAGGCTCCTCCTGTTCATCAGTCCCCCTCACTACTAAGGCTGACTCGGAATCGAAGGCGTATCAAAACCAGTTTCATCAGTACCAGTAGTGGCACTGCTAAGGTACTACTACTAGGTAGGCCGAAAACCCTCCCGTCAGCCACTCAAGGGCAGGAAAATGTAATAGTTGTATCATCATTGCATACATGACTGCTCTCCCAGTCTCAACATCACCTTGTATCCCCCTTCCGAAGCTTTGGACAACTCTGTTTGCGTCCGGCCTTGTCGAAAGCTTGTACGAGATGAGAAACATCCTTCTTCCAAGACAGGCTTTCCCCATACATTCATCATCAGACGCGGCATTGAATCACTCCGCAGACCGATGAATCACCGACTGCCGCCGACTGCCAACCACAAAATAAAGCTCCTCACGGCCGCATTCTGTCATAGAAAGGTAAAGAGGTCACACCAGTTCCGTCATTCGGACGCCATCACCTGCGAACCAGGAATGGTGGAATGAGGGTCAAAAGTCCGGTTTTCTTCGCACCACTTAATCTCGCTGGATGGTATCGGAGAGAGTATGGTGCGCATAACAAGTGTTGCCCATTGCCGAGAAAAAAATGAAAACAAGTATCACCGAGGCCTTCCGTCGTGCAGAGTCGTTACAGTCGTCATCATAGTGTGAAATATTTTAAACAGGCGTTCAAGCTTGTAACCGCGTCGGGCTACATCTCGAAATCCAAATATATTTGGCTGCATTGCCTCCACGGCCCAACCTGTAGACCATAGGCGGGATAGACGACACAGAGGCTGCATCACCTTTGAGAATCGATTTCATATGCATTTTCGCCCGGTTCGTAAAAGGATGCTCGGGCCCAAAGGCCTCCCGACAGATGCTGACCACATATTGCATCGTCTCATTGGCTTCCTCTTTCCGCCCGAGCTTGTTGGAGATCTCGGCGATCCCTCTCAGACATCGAACGTAGATCTCCCGCTCTTCTGCCCGAGGCAGGCCTTCAGCCCTCTTGAGCGCTTCTTTCAGCGCTTGGAGGGACTGTGGATATTGTTCCATATGGAAATAGGCTTCAGAAGTGGCCCGTAAGGCGTAACAGACTTCATAGCATCCCTTGCTCAGCGTCGTTTCAAAGGCATCCACCAACTGTTGGAAGCGCACAGCAGCTTCAGGGAAACGATTGCGGTTCATTAGGCCCGTAGCAAACGTCTGCAGCAACGCAATCGTCTCAGGGTGAAAGTATCCTATGCTGTCCTGGAAGAAGTCGAGCAGTCTTCGTAACGTGGATTCGGCTAACCACGCTCGAGACATTCGTGCATGTTGCAGGTAGTTGGCGATGAGCGTGACTGGATGGTCCTCGGATCCGAAGACAGTCTTGGCCATGTCCCCCAATTGCTGTAAGAGCATCAACAATGGCTGTTCATATCCCGTGCCGTCGTGTCGGATGATGAGGTCAAAAACGTAGATCATGAAGCCAACCTGGTCCTCTTTCAAGAGACTCTCGATCAACGCAAAGGCTTTGTAAAAGTTGTCGAATGCTCGCTTTTTCTGGCCGTTCCACAAAAATGAATAGCCGTGGTACATTGAGTAGTAAAATCGATCAGCTAGAGCATCATCCGAGGTTGCTGTCCAGGTCCCGGTCGTGTATTGAATGGTAAGATTCCTCCTAGAAAAGAGGCCTATGTAATGTTTCTGCATATTTTGGAAAATCAGGTCCAGATATCGCTGGTCATCCGCGGTGACCGGGGTGTGAGCTACAAACGATTCCACCGCCAGCGTCCGGAAAGGTGGCATAGGAGGGAGGTCGGGTATGTGAAGGGCTTTCTGTAAAATTTCGAGACGCTGTTCGGCGATGTTGCACAACGGGAGCGACAGGGGAATGTTCAACTTGTCCAGGTCATCCATTTGCAGAGGACTCCGGGTGAATTCGTAGTCGGATATATCTTGAGCAGCATCGAGCATGTCGTCGTGAGATGAGATTGGGGTCCTGGCGCCTGCCTCCTCTGGCGAAGAAAAATCTCCAGAAGCATCAGGCTGGGCGTCCAGCAGGCTAGAGGGATCCTTGATGCCTTTGCGGTTGAAGTAATGGAGGGCATCCGCGAGGGTGACCTGCCTTCCCCGAACTAGAAACACCTTTTCCTTATCGTCCCCTTTCTGTTGTAGCCCCTGACGGACCAATTCCAACATCTCATGCTCTTTCTTCTTCTTGTCAAGACCCCATGAGTGGAGTCGGCTCTTATACATACGCTCTCTTGAGGGTGGTTAGTGAGATTAGGCAGGACAGGTCGAATAGGAAAAGTACCTACGTCGGAGCGAACTCAAATTCCCTTTTCAAATACTCTGCCACATCCTTAAGCGTCCGGCCTTCTTCAAAATATAATCGAGTAATAAGCGGCCGATGCCTCCGCCATTCCTCACTGGTGTAGGAGTGAGAAGAACGCTTGGAGACCTTGCCTTTAGAGTCCACAGGCGATTGCTCGGCCGAAGCCATAGCGACTCGAGCTGAGACGACACCCAGGCTTTGCTGACTGCTGTTACTGAGGCATCCTCATCATACCCATTGCAGTGACGTGCCGAAAAGCATGATATCAAGAAGACATCCTGCTGAGTGGCACAGTTGCGGGATAGTTTGGGTTCTTGGAGGGCCTGACGGTGAGCAGAGGTGCCTGATTCGGCGATTTTCGGCCTCTGTAATCCGCAACGCAACAGGAACCCAACCACGACCGTAACAAAGCCGCAGTTTGAGGATGGTTCAAGAGGCAAAATACGATGCCAAATGGTTGGAAAGAAAGATAGCCTGGTCTGAGGACTGTGAGAGCTGATCTGGAGTAGAAGTGTGAGGATGACGGTGATCGCAATCTCGCCGGGAGCGTGGAGGCTGCGGAGCGGCAATTGACTGGGCGCGAGATGCAGTAGTCTTGCTATAGACTGAGATCGGAGGGCAGGCAAAGGATCAGCTGAAGGAGGGAAGAGTTGGTTCTTTTGCGGGACTTCTAGAAGGAAAAAGGCGGCAAATGTGCATCAACAGTGGTCATCTGGATGGATGTCGTCGTAACAATGTGTGGGTGATACCTGCACCGCCGCAATGGAACGGATGATGTTGCAGTGCAAGGCAAGTTCAAGTTCTCAGGCAGAGATGCAGGCAATCAATCCGTCGGCCGGGAATTTTAATAAATGGCCCCGTCAGCGGGACGCAATCGATGCTTCATAATTGGAGGCTGGCTATACAGCGCCCAAGGTAGCCTAGACAGGAAGCACTGCAGGGGCACTTGTTTGGTTCTTTTGGGCGGGCGACGTGGCCCCGAGTAGCCCGAGACCGCCTAGAGAGCCTGTGGCACCCGTAGCACCAACTCTACAGAGGCACTGTACCCACCGCATTATTATGCACCCACCGCTAAGCCGAGACAAGCAAATAACAATGATGCTCACCTGCAGGGTTGCCCACAAAAGTACAATGAGCCGAATTGCACCGAAATACCTGCCAGTGCCAGTGGTGCCAGTAGCAACACCAGGTTCTTGAACTGGCGGCTCATCCACCAGCCTTGCCTTTAAAGTACGTGGCACCATAATGTAGTGCCCACACTACACCGGAATGAGCTGCTTCAAGTACGCATGTGCCCACCTGCATGTATAGAAGATAAAAATTAGGAGAAAGTCTACGACTGCAGTAGCAGTTTACTATCAAGAGTCCTGTGGGCGGGTGCCGCACCGTATGTTCTGACCGCATCTCGCTTCTGCCGCTCTACACAAACATGGTCGTCGGTCGGCAGACACTTCTCTCCACGATGATTGGCGTCGTGTCCCCAACTCACCTCCAACGCAGCATGTTCACGTAAAGCTCGGGGGTCGCTGCCGGGTACACGTCAATTGACAGTTTTACTAGTCACGCACTGCAGCTTAAGGATCAAGCGTGGAGATGTGAACCGTTGATGGCTTGGGAAGTCCAATGGCGATCGCATAACAGTACTGTACCCTGGCCGGGAAGAACCCTGCTCCTGGCCATCGAGTCTGTTCTCAGGCTCTTGTCAGCCATCGTGGCAGTGCAGGGGTTTCAATCCAACCAAAGCCCTGATGTACTATTGTACTACTGTACAACTGTCCGAATTCCCATCCAAGGTAATGGAGACCGAGCTGGCCTCAGCAAACTCCAAGTCCTTGCGACGCCCATCGTCCGACCTCAGTCCCCCGTCCTATACAGGGTACGTCGCCTGAAACGGCAGATTGCGCAGTTTCTGGAGCGCAGTTTCTGGAGCGCATTACACGTCCTATCTCTTCCAGCATGACAGCTTTACTGCCCTCTCTCCGTTAAGATCTGTCCCGGAGGCCTGGATTTCCGACGCAAACTTACGGATATGTCACTTACGAATCGTCCTGCGCTGGAACGTGGGCCTCAGCTCAACCTAAGAAGTGACCCACGCGTTTGAAGCATACCGTTGGAGACATGGTGGGGTTCAATTGCAAACATACAACGTGTACGTGTGCATGAATGGAACCCAATGATCCCGATTCCGAATAGTGCAAGCGGATTGCCAGATCGTCCGCGGATGCACACCCTCTCAGCGATTGGAGTTGGTATCACCCCCTTTCCCAGGTTGTCCAAGGCGCAGCACCTTCCTACACCCTAGATACTGGTACCAGTACTTAGGTGCACGCACACCTGATTATTGAGTCTCGGTTTGACAGATGTCTGTTCTTCGAATGACAACCGTTGACAAAGCTAGTCGACGTGAGAATCATGGGCCCAAGCGGGGATGAGGTCCCAAGACTGACGGCCACAAGGCAAGTTCCCACAAGGATAACGAAGCTGCTGACAGGTATTGTTCTTCTGCAGGGATATCGTTGCTTTCGTGGAGATACTACTGCTTTGGGGCAGGCTCCGTCGGCACAAACGAGTTCAAACGAGCTCCTGGCCGCCGAATCAGCCAGCCGCGTCACTCGCCGTGCAATTGTTCGTAGGCCTGCTTGCGTCGGCTTGCACGGGTCCCACATACATCAACAACGTTCGCGCGACCGACATCGCGATTTCGCCAGTGTTTGTTTGGTCGGCTCCTCCACGGACTCCATTTCCAGAAACCTTCTTCAAGGATCATCCCTACAGTCATAATCTCTGGATCGCGATGGTACCTCTGTCATCTAACATAGATCGTGACCTACAAATTGCCCGACAGACCGCCTGCCGGTGTTTTGGAAGGGCCGTTCCTCATTGTACCGCAGTGCTTACGACTCCCTAACGCCAGCTCTGGCTAAGTCACCCACAGCTTGGACCTCCACAGCTAGAGAGTGCTTCCCCAGGCATGGTAAAAGCAAGGGCGGTAAGAGCATGACTTGTTCTAAGCCTCAAGCAGCATCGTTCTTCCATCCTGCTGTGATCTCTCAGTCGATCAGGATTCGGCTCCCAACCTTGCCTTTGCTCCAAAGACCCAGTCCCAGGTACGTACTGTTCGTCAGGCATCGGGCCCCGCGAGGCGACGTGTACTCGCTCACGGACGGTCCTGATTGGCCATGGAAGCGGGACATCCTCAAAGGAAAACCAGACCGACACCTTGTTCGCAGAATGTCCTGCAGTGAAGGTATCTTGAGCCCAACATCTCAGGGGTAAAGCTCCATGCTATCACGACTCCAGCACGTGAGTGTGGCCTGGCCACCTGCCCACCTGCCCACCAGGAGGAGCGATAGTAGCCCATAAGGCGCCAGGTTGATGTCCAGACATAACAAAATGTCCTCGTTGCGTGATCCGCTCCAACCTATCCCACGCAGAGAAACCCCCTAGGTAGGCATGGCCTTGCACATGAGTTGGGTTGTTCAACATACCAGCGAGTGTGTCGACCCTTGGCAGCGGATTGAGATGGGCGTCGCTGCTCGGGACAGCAGCAGAAATTAGGCTTCCCAATGCCGCCCAAACGCCATGTCGACTGCTCGGGTATGGCCAGGTGCGATTGTTGAGGCCCTCAATGTTCTGAGTAGGTCCTCGCCGGCATTCAGATAACGTTGAACAGCATGGCGGAGTGTGCGAGCAATAGTCCACTTGGAAACTCTTGGGCATCTGGTCCTGTGGTCCAGAGAGGTTTAATCTCATTCCTTGCTCAAGAGGTTGCTCTCAGATACAGCATTCGGCTTCAGAATATTAACGACGCCCTGTCCAGTCTCTTTGATTCCATTGACATCCACTGGTTTGGTCGTGGACTCTGGCTGCTCTCCTTGTGCTGACGGACCTTCTGAAGCATTTGCCGGTTGATCAACATTTTCTGCTGCATCCTTTTCCCACGGCTTTTTCCTGCGAGGAGTTTTGTCGACTTTGCTCGATCCAGGTTCTAAGACGGTATCCGGGATCTGTTCGATTCCCGGGATCGGAATATTGCGTGTGATCAGGTCCACTATCGCGGCAAAAGAGGTGGGATATGGTGGTTCGGGTTCAGGTTCGGAGGACGAGGTTTCCGTAGGTGGTTGAGCTGAGGATGTCTGAGCTGTTGATGAGCTCGTCTCCTCTGCGGTATGGGCGTGGGGCGGTTCTGCGACAGGCAGATGGTGAGGCTCGCCATGAGCATGCACCCATGCCGAGTAGGCTACGGGGTCTATTGGGCCAATGTTGAATTTCCTAAGTTCATAGACGACGGCAAATCGTGTCAGAGCCGTCTCGTGTTTCTCGGGCGAGGCAGAATTATGTTCCAGCTAATTTATTTTCTTACCTTGCGAAGTAGAAACACCGCGTTTGTAAAACCAACTCCGCCTTCTCTTCAAGTTCCTCTGGGGTCGCCGGTGTCTCGGGATGACCAAGGATAGCGGACAACCCGGCCTGATACTCTTCGTCCGTGTCGAAAGGGTAGGACCGCAGGTGCCGGTAGATGGCATCGCTGGTTGCAGGAGGCATCTCTACCGCGGTGGAAGGATCGTGTTCTGCAGCCGAGCTAGAATCCATTGTTGCGGAATTGCACCTTTATCTTCCCTCTCCTGCATCGAATAGGTTTGACAGCGTTACAGGCTTGAGCTACTCAAGAAGCATTTGTCGGACTGCCAGTGTTGCAGGTTGCGGATCGCAGCCAAATTCGCAGAACATTGGCATTCATGGCGATTCGACCTCGGTAAACCACACAAACCACGCAAACACACTCCAGGCCCCTCACCGCACACATCTGCCCCAAGCTCGAACCACAGCAGTCAGTTCTAAATGTTGGTACGGCTCTCCCACGATGGACACCTCAACTTGATTCTGACCTAAACATCGAAATACGACAGTGCTTTGACCTACTACTGACTTCCATTTCAGCCATGGGTGACTATGTCACAAATAGGTTTCCAAACGTAAGCTGATCCTCTCGCCTCGGCTGACCAGATATGTTATCCACTTGACTGGTGCTTCAAAGCTTCCATTAGACGAGCTCTCACGGGCATCCCTCTACCCACTACTCCATTATCATTGATGCCAACGGCTTCCCCGCGAACCTTCCTGTACCTCTTGCACGTTAGGTACTAGGCCATATCAAAAAAGTAACAGGGCACCAGCTGCCACCAAGCTTTCAAAGCACCTCGAATTTACCTTAAAAAATGCAGCTTCAGCCATGTTCGATCTGCAACCGTATATTAATGGCCAACGAGCGTCAGCAGCACGGCACCGCAGGGAATATAGTCCAAAGCAGGATCTCGGCTAGGGCATCACGTTAGCCGAGTGGTTACAGACGCCAAACGTCTGGCACGTTCAACAACAACCCCGAAGGGAGATTATCTGCGCTCCTCCAGCCGAGCTGGAAACAACAAGCACGCCATGTATAAGCAGAACGATTAAAGTTGCCTGATCAACAGTTGAACTTCTGAACACTGTCGGGAACCCCGCAAGAGTCGGCTCAAATAGCTCGGTTCTTTCAGGGTATCCATGTTGGAAGTCTTCCACGAGTTCACTCCTTACGGCATCGCTAATCGCTCGTCAATCAGACAACCTGGGTTTATGACCGTGGCCTGAAGCGAGAGCGAGACCAGCCAATTAGTGAGATGGGCTTTCGCTCATCATTGCAAATATCATTTATCCCATCATTGTCGATTCCAGGTCCAATCTCGATGGGAGCGTTACATCGAGTTGCGCCACGCCAGTTTCCAAAGCCAGATCGGAGGAGGATGGACAGGATTGCCGCCGAATGAGACACAGTGAGGAGGTCCGCCAAACGCTTGTCAGTGGCATTGGCCCGCCGTCTTAGCCGAAAAGGTACCATCAAGACCCCGGAGCGGAGCCTTGGTCGGGTCTCCGCCGAGCCTTGGCTGCTGGGCAGCCCGGCGATCACTTCATCCATTGGACACACGTTCAGCCATGGTTGCTCCATCATCTTGCCTCCACTGCTATCGAAGACGACAGTTCTACCTCACGGTCATGGAGAACGTACCTTCACACGCTCGAGACTCCTCGGTCGAATGTCCTTTCGTTGTTCAATCTTCCATACGCCCGGAGACCGCCTTCATCTCCCCACGAATGCTACAGTATGCTACCGTATCAATGTGGCCGGATCATTCCACTGCTCAACCAGCTCCTGGGCTGGTCCTATTGGTAGGTGATGGCTGATGAAGTATTGACTTCTTGGTTCTGTTACCGTTGCAGGCCCCTGCTGCCGCCACCAGTGCTAGTACACGGACTCACTATTGCACGCCTTCAAAGTCATCTGACGGGCCCATCACTGGCTAACACGGTATCAACACTTCTAGCTCGTGTGGATCGCTTCTAGGGGTACGCCGTCAAGTACCATGGCAGCGACCAAGAGATAAGGATCGCCCCCGCTATGCGAACAACGCCATTCATGGCCTTACTGGCAGCGCTCAGCCGAAGTATATAACAATGTTACCAAGGCGTCTGTGATTTTAGCAGTCCTTCCTACTCCCTTTTCCGCCCATTACTGCCTTAATTGCCCGCCATGGCTGCTAATAAACCAGTCTTCAGCGAGGCGGGTATCGACCCAGAAAAGAGCACCCCTGCTGGTGTTCCCCTTGAGAGTACCAATGATGCAGACTCCTATTTCCAAGGAGATGTCATGCAGCAATACTACAACCTGGGGTTCTGGACCCGTATGGGGTGTACCCCAGAATCCTTCAAGCGGAGGAACGCTACCGACAAAAACAACCAACTCAACCAGACTCTACGTTCACGTCACATGCATATGATTGCCATTGGTAAGCCAAGAGAATATTCTTGAGCCAAGCAGTGACGGCTGGGGAAAGCTTACGCATATCGTCATACAGGTGGTTCGATTGGAGCTGGTCTCTTTGTTGGCACGGGATCCGCTCTTCGACGAGGAGGTCCAGCCTCACTTCTGATCGACTACGCCATCATCGGCGTCATGATCTTCAACGTTGTCTTTGCTCTTGGTGAACTCGGCATCATGTATCCCATTTCCGGTGGGTTCTACACCTACTCGACGCGATTCATCGACCCGTCCTGGGGCTTTGCTATGGGATGGAACTATTGCTTCCAATGGGCGGTTGTGCTGCCGCTGGAAATCACGGTGGCTTCGTTTACGATATTTTTCTGGACGTCCGACGTTCATGTGGCAGTGTGGATCTCCATGTTCCTGGCCATCATCATCGTCATCAATGTCTTTGGAGTCCTAGGCTATGGCGAAGAAGAGTTTTGGGCGAGCGCTCTGAAACTCAGTGCCATTGTCATCTTTATGATCATCGCTCTGGTCTGTGTCTGTGGAGGCGGACCTAGCAACGGCTTGTATCATGAATACTGGGGCGCTCGACTTTGGCACGATCCGGGTGCTTTCCGCAACGGATTCAAGGGGTTCTGCTCGGTCTTTGTGACGGCGGCCTTTGCCTTCTCGGGTACTGAATTGGTCGGCCTCGCCGCAGCCGAGTCTCGGACCCCGTTGAAATCGCTCCCATCGGCGGTCAAGCAGGTGTTTTGGCGTATCACACTCTTCTACATTCTGTCTCTCCTGTTTGTCGGATTGCTTGTGCGGTCCGACGACGACCGGCTTCTCGGCGCCAACCCATACATTGACGCGCAAGCCTCACCGTTCGTCCTGGCTGCACGGGATGCCGGCCTCAAAGGATTTGATTCGTTCATGAACGTGGTCATTTTGGTTTCTGTCATCTCCATCGGCAACAGCGGCGTGTACGGGGGCAGCCGCACGCTGACGGCGCTGGCCGAACAAGGCTATGCGCCCAAGATCTTTGCCTATGTCGATCGAGCCGGCCGACCGACCGTGTCTACTGTTACTATTATTGCTTTTGGTGCCCTGGCGTACCTGGGCGTGGCCAAATCCGGTATTGAAATCTTCGACTGGCTCCAGGCTTTGTCTGGACTGGCTGCTCTGTTTACTTGGGGCTCGATCTGTCTGGCCCACATCCGGTTTCGGGCCGCGTGGAAACATCAGGGTCGCACTCTGGACGAAATCCCCTTCAAGGCCGTCGGCGGCGTCTACGGCTCCTGGCTCGGCCTGATTCTGATTGTCCTCGTCATGATCGCCCAGTTCTATGTGGCCATCTGGCCTCCTGGTGGTGGCGTCAATAGCGCCGATGGCTTCTTCAAGTCTTACCTCGCGTTGCCTGTGGTCATGTTCTTCTGGCTTTGTGGGTATCTCTGGAAGAGGCAGGGTTGGCTGAGATTGGACCAGATTGATTTGGATGCCGGCCGTAGACATATTGACTGGGAGGCTCATCATGCTGAACAGGAGAGGAGGAGGAATGCCAGTTGGCCCATGAGAATTGTTTATTTCATGTTCTAAGCTGGAAAGAGGAAGAAGCAGATGCTGGTCGTGCACTTGAGAGGGAGGATAGATAATGCCAATTCTGGCTTTTCCTTGTCTACTAGTAGCACGAATTAGACAGCCTGAGGCCGGGCGCGGCAGAAAGTGGCAGGCAGTGGGTGGGTAGCTGATCCAATATACCTACCTAGGTATTGTCCAATCTGCAACGGGGCCTGGGCATTTGTTCTCCTTGCTGTTTGATTCCAGATGGACAGATATATATACCTACCCAGGTAAGTGCCTACCAGTATCCCCAAGAATCATGTCCTCCGTCAGCAATCCACATCAGTGCACATAAGTGAGTCACACTGTGATATGTACCGATCGACAAGACAGTCTGCTCCTAGCTAGTCCTGTAGTATTGGGGCTCGCGTACTCTAGCACGACCTCAAACTGATGACGGAGCTGCTCCGGTTCCAAAAGAGCGAGAACTCCAATGTGTCCTTGTGTAGCGTGCAGTGGAACAACAAGCATTTGGTAGGTTTCTGTGGTACATTACTCCGGGGGTCTTGTGACGCAGCGCTGATGCATGAGTTTCGGCTTCAAGTTGTACAAACCGGATTGTGTGCGCTCTGCCTTCCAAAAGGTTGCTTCCTTGCGGTGTGGAGTTCGCTCCAACTCCGGCTCAGCTCCCCACAAAATATATTAAACCCATTTCCATCAACGCTTCTGTTAACCACCTCCATCAGAGACACCGATGGTTGTTTTGACAAAAGCAACTGTCACTAATCATGGAAACATCAACATCGAACCCGGCACCAACATCAGCCTAACCAGGACTCTGTCCAGGAAGTTGAACTACTAGCCTCATCAACCGAGCGCCTGAGCAGAAGAATACATCAGATCTGAGACAGAGGTGAGCCTCCGTACACCGGTGCCAGGTTCAGCTACCTACCTAGGTATATACATTACCCATTCACTCAGGTAGGCTGGTCACAGACAATGCGTCGATTCAACAACGACGAAGACGCCAACGTACCAGGCACCTCACGTTTGTACTGAACCAAATCTACAATCCACAATCTACATACAATCCTTGTCTACATTACAAAAAACAACATCGTTCGCCATTGAAAGATCAGCCATCAACCTATATCAAAGTGTCACTCCGACCACCGAGTACCCATCACCAATCACCAATCACCCTACCCCATTTCAGCCGGCCGGTAGCCTTCCGCTTCTCTTCTCCGTTTCAAACTCAGTCCTCTATCCGATTCCACACTCTGAACTTGAACTTGAACTACAGTTCACAAAATGTCTTCCTCATCTCCATCCACCCTCACCATTTCACCAGGCCGACTCCTCCTAACCCTCGTCTCACTCAGCACGAGCATCTCATGCTACATCGCCGACTGGAACGAGACACACGTCAAAAACCCCAAATGGCCACCTCACGCGCGGTTCCACAATGGACAGACCATGTCGATGGGGTTGGTGTTGGGGTTGTTGACACTATATTTCACTTGGAGGAAGCCGCCTAAGCCGCAGGCGACGTCTTCGCCGTCAGGCCCAGGCAGTAACATTGACGCCAACAAAGACGGTTTTTCTGTGGCGTTGGCAAAAGATTCCATCACCTCCGCCGCCCTAGTCGGAAGTCTATACTGGATAACAGGGATTTCGGCAATCATGTACCCTGGCACCAAATGGGTTGATCCGGAGTTTGGGACGGGGGCACCGCAGAGGGGGGTGTTTTTGGGGCATTTGGTTTTGGTCTGGGTGGGTTGGTGGTTGGAGATGAGGAAATTGAGCCGTCTGGAAAAAGAAGAAGTTGAAGGAGAAGGAAGAGGTGGTGGTGGTGGGAGAATAGTGGCTGGTGCTGCCCCTGACAAAAAGGGTAGATAGAGCAGGACAAAGATGGGAAAAAAGGGGGAAAAAGGGAGTGTATTCTTACTGCATTGAGGCCAATGGAGTGACGTTGATTGCGCTTCCGACTATCATCAAGGGGATCACGGGTCTCGTTTGAATAACCTACCTAATCCAAGGTCATGAGAACCCGATCCCGTTCTGAGGCGCGGGCACACAGAGAGTGAAACCATGACTAAAGCATCACAATCAGGTTTCGGCTAGTGGGACAGAGACAGGAGAGCATGAATCAATGATCAATTTTGAGAGAAAAGTCTACGTGCGGCACGCCCTGATGGACCGCACTGGTGGATATAATGTCGATATCTGTGAAGTTAAGTCAGTAAATAGAATCCTCTCCTCTTCAGCGACAAGTCCACACTTAGACATACCGTTGTTGATATACTGCGTGACATTGTCCTCCGTCAGCCCACCACTGCTCTCCAGCAGAACAGACCTCTTTCCACGCCATCGATCCTTCAAACTTCTCGCAGCAATTTTGAGTCCCTCGCCATCAAAGTTGTCGAGCATGACCACATCGGCACCAGCCTCGATGGCCTCGTCGGCATCCTTCTCAGACTGAACCTCGACTTCGATCTTGAGAGCGAACCCGCCGACCGCACGCGCAGCCTTGACGGCATTCGTGATACTGCCCTTGGCCCAGATATGGTTGTCCTTGAGCATGATCATGCTACTCAAGTCGTGACGATGGCCATCAATACCACCAACCAACATGCCGTATTTCTCCACCAGTCTGAACCCGGGTGTCGTCTTGCGCGTCCCGGCTAGAACGCCCGTGTACCCTGCCTTGCGGACTAGATCCAACATTTTCCGGCTCTTGGTGGCCACGCCGCTACATCTCGCCAACGTGTTCAGCGCCACTCGCTCACCGAGAAGAAGTTTGCGCGTCGGGCCCCGGACGGTAGCCACTTTGATCTTGCCGTTACTTCCGGCTGGGTCCAAATAGCTTCCCTCTGAGTAGTGCCATTCCACTGTGCAGTCGAGCTGGCGAAATACTTCGTCAAAGAATTGGATTCCTGCGAGCACCCCGGCCGATTTGCAAAGGAGTTGCGCTGTCCGTGGTTCGGAGCCAACGACGAACCCACCGTAGTCGAATGATGGTGTGTCTTCGGCTAGCCAGGCTGTGATTTCGGTCGTGAAGTGGGATGGGAGGAGGTCGGCGAGGCTGCCGTGGGATAGACTTGCGTCGGTGGGTAGTGGTAGCTCTGTCGCCGGTGGGCCGGCGGTGCTCGAGGACGACATGTTTGTCGTTCGACTTTATTGTGTAAGCTGATACAGACTGTCGAATCTAGTCGGCGGGTGCGCAAAAGCAGCTCACTGGCACTTAAGAAATGTCTCTTTCGGTCTGTGAGCAGAATCAACGTCCAGTTGCAGATCAGATCCAGATCCAGATCGAATGCCACTTTTGATCCTGAACTCGAACTCGAATTTACCCCGCGAAACTGCGGAGACAGAACGACGCGCCCGCCTCGCCAGACCTTCCTTCCATTTCTACTGAGAAGTCTGGTCCGTTCGATGAGAGTTGCCAGGTACATTGTTGTTGTATGTAGGTATCCAACTCGAGCTATGTCTTCTACCCGGTATCAAAAGACACTGATCCTAGCTAGGACTAGGCTATTCAAAGAGCACATAACGCAGTCTGATAACTGCTAAATTGTCCCCTTCTCCTTCTCAAACTCGGCCTGGTCAACCACGCACACGGCCTTGCCCTTCATCTTACCCGAATGCGCCAGCTCCACCATCTTCGGCACCTCCTCCAACCCGTAGAACAAGTTGGTCTCGACCTTGATACCATACCTCGCCACGTCGTCCAGCATTTGCTGGCTGTAGTCCTGTCCCGCAATCAATGTCCCTTTGATACGAATGTCGCGGAAAATAAGGTGCTGGAAAGCCACGCACACCCTCTCCGGCTGAGCCACCTGCACCATGGTGCCATGCATGCGTGTCACCGAACATGCCGTGTCAGCCGCTGTCGCGTGTTCGCTTACATTGATCGCGGCGTGCACGCCCAAGCCATCTGTGAGGGATTGACCCTTTTGAACGATTTTGTCCTTCCCCTCCCTCGCATCCAAAATGTGCTTTGCGCCAGCCTTTTGGCAAAGCTCAAGCGCCTCGTCGCGAGCGTCGATGGCTACGACATTGATCCCCTTCGCAATTGCAAATTGTATCCCGAGGTGGCCTAACCCGCCACCGGCACCCACAATCGCAAGCCAATCTTCTTGCTTCACCTCGCTGACTATAAGGGCTCGATAGATGGTACATCCCGCGCAGGCAAGAGGAGCAGCACTGGCAAAGCTGACTTTATCGGGAATGTGGCAACTGGTTCTGCTGTCGACGACATGATACTCGGCAAAGGCACCATCGATGAACACGCCGATGTGCCCTTCCGCGTTCTCGCAATATTGATGCCAGTCGTTGGGGCCCTTGCAATTGTAGCACGTGCCGCATTGGTTCTTGGGCACGCCGGACATGACTCGGTCGCCAATCTTGAAATTGGCCACTTTAGATCCTACTGCCTTGACGATGCCTGTACCTTCGTGAGAGGCAATGCAGGGCAGTTTGGTGGGGAATTTGCCTTCCATTACCATGGAGTCGGTGTGGCAGAGAGACGCGACAACGGTTTTGAGCAGCATTTCATGTTCCTTGAGTTCTGTCGGGGTTGGTATCTTGTGGATCTTGTATGGTTTGTTGAACTGCATTGCCCATCCTTCAGTAGATATCCCACTTATGGCCGCCATGGCAGGCGCTCCCAACTGATGTTCTTACCTCGACGATTTGTACTGCGAGCATCTGCTCGGGGACTCCTTCGATAGCCATATTGAACCAATCTGCTGTGATCTGCTGTAGGGGATGAGGTTAGGCAGTTAGGCGCTATGACGGGGATGATAACCCTTCAGTAGGCTCGTCTAGAAATGCAAGAAACTGATCGGCCTGGATACAAACGTTGAATTGAACTGAAGGAACAACGCAAGACATCTGAGCACAAGCAAGTGGACTTAAGGTTGATTGACCTCCGTCACTCTTAAACTTCCCGCCCATGATAACTGATACTGGCAGTTCTCCGCATTCCATCAATCGGGCATGTATGGACCTACCAGGTTCAGGCTTGCTGTGATGCAGCCGTGGTCGGTATTCACGATGCAACGCAGCCAGGGTATCGTCGTAATGATGCCAGGGTTATTCAGGTAAACTTCAGCCGGCTTCGCAGTGTCCCTGCCGTATACTCGAGGCACTGAAAGGTATTATCACGACCCTATGAATGCCACCGAGGATTTCATGACTTGAAGTCACCGGCAACATGCCGGGACGGTCAGGAAACCCATTCGCTAAACCTTCCTTGATCAAAAGTCACGTGCTGGGCTTTGAACGAGCACTAATCCCGATGCGGTTGGGCCTGTTCTTTGATCCGACGACAATGCAATAAATCCCTTTGTTCTTAGGCGGATGCACACAACCATGAAAATCCTGTTATTCAACAGCTGTAAAGATGCAGAGCCGGCCGGTAAGGACAATAAGGACGCGCAGAGTAAGTCCCTGGAGCGAATCTGCTACTATGCAAAAGGTAATAAGGAGATCGTGAGTCGTCTCAGGCTGGCCACCTGCAGCCACCAGGCAATTCGAACAAGGTAAGATCACACTGTGATATCCGTCGGCGGCAGCCATCTTTCATCTTGGCTCTGTTTCCTACCCATGAAAGCTACAGCGACTTTTTGAACAATACCTCTTTGTCTCCAAATCTTCGTCGACGCGTGCGGAAGTCCTTAAGGGCGGAAATCTCTCTTCATTTCTCAGCCCATCAGTCTTCCAGATGTCGCCTCATTATCCAAGCATACCAGCGGTATTGAGTTTCTAGACTATTTTGTTGGTCATCATTCTTGTTCTCGCAACTTTTGCATTGATCCGCATCAGTCTACCCAAGTTGTCAGCATGGACCTGAACGCCCTTCCAGACGATGTCGACCCCGCGGAGAGTCCTGACTTTGAAAATTACCGCATCGACTATGACCCTGCAAACGCTGATCTCAGAGTGCCTGGAAGGGACGTCAACCTGCAATGGTTTGACGCCAGGCAAGAGAGAGGAGCCTTTGGGTATGAAGCCGATGGTAGAGCTTTCATGATGCAACGACCATGGTTCGACGAGGATTTTGACAAAGATGATGAGTGGGGACCAGTCAGACTGCTGGGTTCCGGGACATATGGCCTGGTCGGGCTTTGGGAGCGTCGAGACGCCAACAACATGATGCTTGACGAAGTGGCAGTCAAACAAGTGAATTGGACAAAGAGCAAGAGGTCTCGAATATCCGACGAAATTAACGCCGGCCACAACAAACCTCGACTGCTCAGAGAGGCGGTGATTCAGCGGGATCTCAACCAAAAAGACGAACGTGCTGCCCCACACTTGCGCCGGTACAAGTACATATCAGACACCAGAACCGACAAAAGAGGTCGCATTCGCATGTATCTCGAGTTCTGCCCCCATGGGTCTCTGGAGCATCTCCGACGTCTGTACCGTGCCTGGGACCAATACTTTCCCGAAGTTTTCGTGTGGCACATATTCCACAGCCTTGCGGTGGGATGCGAAGCACTTCGTCAACCCCCTCCGGTTGACACCTTGGGTTTAGAGGAAGATGCCTTTCAGCAATTTGTCGCAGACGACGCTGAAGGGCTCTACTGTCTTCATATGGACTTGAAACCACAAAACACTCTCCTCGCTATGGGTCTTGGAGAGGAAGGACTCGACTTTCCCAATCCCAAAATCTCCGACTTCGGCATGTCAGAATACACTGGTCGCAGTGACTTAAGGAATCCGGACAATTTTTGGTGGCGAGGGACCACGGCATACAAGCCAACGGTAAGCACAGAAGACATTTCTTCCCCCTTTCAACCTCGTCGGAAAGAAACCGAGCTAACAAGCGGAATATAGGAGCAACTCTTCTATGGCGCAGAGTGGAGGATTCCACCTAACGGCGCTGTTCTCAGGACGCACGATCGGCGTGGCAAGCGGGTCGACTTCAAGCGTGCCAAACAGGCCCAGCGCGAAGACAACGCGACCCACACTGTCCTGGACGACATATGTTTCGACCACTCGTTGAATGTAAGTTTCAGCCGAATTTGCCCATTGTCTATGCTCGTCATCTTTCTTGTGGTCTGAACTCGCAGAGTCACAACCACTTGATCTCTTACCCAAAGTCCCCTTCTGTCTAGCACAAGTTGCATTTCCAAGTCCAACCAACTAACCAACATCTTATCACCAGGTCTACGGCGTCGGCGCAACAATGTACTCCGTCGCCACACTCTGTCGGACCTGCAAACTAATGGACACCCGGGCAAAACACTACGCCAAATACCGACAGAACGGAAACCACCAGATCTCCAAAGTACGCACAAAAGTCCCCGGGACATACAGCAGCCGACTCCGGCGCTTGATCCACCGATGTCTCGACCCAGACCCAGCCAACCGACCCAGCCAAGTCGAATTGATGGACGAGACCCACAGAGGTCTCCAGCTCGCCATCCGACGAGTCAAACGAGCACGACGAGACGCCGCCCTCGCCGCCGCTGGAGGTGACCCGAACAACCTACCTCCCGGACCACCGCCGCCCTTGCCGTCCGAGAAAATCTACTACCATGACCACGAAATCAACGACATGCCGCTCGGCAATGCGGGGTTCCGCCCCAAGAAAGGCGACTACCGTAATTTGGTTTTCGACCAGTTCGTCAATCCGGACATTCCGCGTCTCAAGCTGCCCCCCGCCAAATATAATACCAAGTTCCCCCCTGCTATGAATGAAATGCAGTTGACTTGGCGGACGCTGTATCCTGATGCGAATGATGGCAATTTGTGGTTCAAGCCTGTGAATTAGATTGTCGTGTCGCCGGTATCAGCCTACCGGAGGGGGGCGGCGGGGGAGGGGTGGGGGGAGGTGTGTCTGGAATGTCTTCTGGGCTATCTTTGGGACGTTGTTCGATGCATTTGGGATGGATGCCATGGAATACCTTGGGTGGGAGATGCCGGGGCTGGTGGT